TGGGGGCGTTCTTGGGGCCCTCTTGGGCCGTCTTGGAGGCCTCTGGGGCCGTCTTGGAGCCGTCTTGGGCCGTCTTGGGGCCCTTTTGAGGGCCTCTTGGGCCCTCTTGGGGCGATCTTGGAGGCCTCTTGAGCCGTTTAGGGGCGTCGGGGAACCGAAAAGGTTGAAACGCCCAAATCTGTCCAAAACCTAAGAAAAAGCATTGATTTTTGCCTCTTGGGGCCCTCTTGGGAGTGCTCCTGGAGGTCTCTTGGGGCATCTTGGAGGCTTGTTGGGTCATCTTGGAGACGTCTTGGGCCGTCTGGAGGCCATCTTGGGCGCCGTGGAGCGATCTTCAGGCGTCTCGGACCTCTCTTGGATTGTGTTGGGGGCCTCTTGGGGCCCTCGTGGGGCGATCCTGGGGGATCTGGGGGAGTGTCCAAGGCGTGTCTCGGGCGTGTCCCGGGCGTGTCCCGGGCTCCTCCCGGGGTACTTTTGATCCAGGGACCCCCAGGGGCCGCCCCGCGCGCGCGAACTAGAAATACTGTCTACCAGTTGCCGGAGATCTTAGCACGCCTCTGGCCCGTTGGGCCGGCGAATATACATATGCGTGTGTGTGTGTGTGTGTGTGTGTGTGTGTGTGTGTCTGTGTGTGTGTGTGTGTGTGTCTGTGTGTCTGTGTGTGTGTGTGTGTGTGTCCCTGGGCCCCCTTCACATCGCCGACCCCGGGTCGACGTGTCGCCGCCCCGCGTGCCAGGCCCCCCCCCCCTGGCCGTTGCCCGTCCCGCCTGCGGCCCGGCTGGGCGCGGCGCCGAGAGCGGCAGCGGCGCTGCAGGCTGCCCAGGCAGTCAGGGGAGGGAAAGTCGAGTAGGAGATCGATTGCAGAGGGGGCGCGCACCACGACACCAGCTGCCCTTCGTCGGGGTGTCCCGGGTTTCTTCGTTCCCCGCGCTGCGCGGGGACCGCCCGCAAGCGTCGAAGGAGCTGCTGCGCTCTGGGTGCTCCAGGTTTCCCCGCAGGTGCACCTCGTGCTCGGCTTCTCAGGGTTGGGTTTCTTGCGACGGTTTCTTGTGGCCGCGCCCGCACTGTACAGAATTGATGTACCCGAAAATTCAGGCGATCGCAAACATGGATCAAGGGGGCGTGGGTTAGCGACGGGTCCCGTTTCCATGGGGAGTCGCGGATCTCCGCCGCCGAGCGAGGCGGCGCTGGCCGCATTTTGGGGAGGGCACTTCCCCCGATCCATGGATTTGGCGACCGCGCCAAATCCATGGATCGCTAATCCATGTTTGCGCGCCCCCGAGAGGAGGCAAAGTCGAGTAGGAGATCGATTACAGAATTGATGTGCCCGAAAATTGACTTGTTGGTCGAATATGTTAACCTTCTCGACGCATTCTTTACAGATCCGACGAATCAATCAGATTTGGGGGAGTTCAATGCTGTAGTCGATCTCTTAACCGAAGGAGAGGTAGTAATACCGCTACCCTTCCCTCGCTTTCCCCTTCTCCGGGCCTCTCGGGAGGCCCTCGTCACCAGCGCTGCATTCGCCTCGAAATCCTGGCCAGAACGCACCCCGGGAGAGGTACGTGGAGTAGCGATATCGATGCATCTTGCTTTCCCCAAGATGGGGCCCGACCTGATGGGGTTGGAGGACCGCGCCGCATCGCCGATGCATCGACGATGTTTTTTTTTTTCCACGCCGACGTCGCCGATGCATGCCCGATGCATCGGCGATGCATCGGCGATGTGGCGCGCTTTCCTGCATGGTTGTGCAGCCGCCCATCGGCGTCTTCCGCTTACACGTTTCGATGTTGCGCCTTTGGTTGCAAGCGATTGCCCGCTCAGCTCACCCACGCGCTGCACCAGGTAGAAATTCGGCTGAGCATGCTCTGGCTTAGTACTCGCGACGGTGCCGCCACCTGGCTGCTTGAACAAGTGTGTGTGTGTGTGTGTGTGTGTGTGTGCGCGCGCGCGTGTGTGTGTGTGTGTGTGTGTGTGTGTGTGTGTGTGCGTGCGTGCGTGCGTGCGTGCGTGCGTGCGTGCGTGCGTGCGTGCATGCGTGTGTGTGTGTGTGTGTGTGTGTGTGTGTGTCCGCTTCCCCGAAAGTCATCGCTGCGCCGCCCAGCAACGCCGTTGCCGAGAGGGACAGAGAGAGAGAGAGAGAGAGAGTGTGTGTGTATGTGTGTGTGGATCGCGGCGTTGAGGCTCTTCGCGCACGTGGCCTTTTTGCAACAAAAAAAGGCCTGGCCTTTGACTCGGCATCGCTCGCACGTGTGCGATTGTTTTCCTCGGCGGGGACCACCGAGGAGCGCCCGAAGCACACATCAACATGAGCATCACACATCGAAGAGCATCCTGGATCACCTCGCGGATACTCCAGATTTCGTAATAAAGGAAGGGGGGTCTCATTTCGGGGGGGGGGTCTCTTCCAGGCTATCTTGGAGGGCCTGGGGGGGTCTGGGGACGGTGTTTTGGAGGGTTCTCCCACGGGGGATGTCTGAAATGGCTCGTCTTGGAGGGTCCAGACCCCCTTCCTTTTATTACGAACCCTGGAGTAGCTAAGCGCAGGGAGCCGAAGCGTGCACAGGGGAAGGGACGCGCGGGCGATGCCACGACGAGGGCCTGGCCGCCCCGAGGGGACGGAGCGGTGCACGCCTCCTCCTCCCTCGGCGGAGGGCGGCGGCAGGCCGGCGGAGCTGCCTTCGGGAGTCCGGGGTGGCTCCGGCGGGGGCGGGCGGCGGAAGGCCGGCGGCGTCGGGGGGGGGGGGGGCGGAAGGCCGGCGGCGGAGGAGGAGGAGGAGGAGGAGGAGGAGGAGGAGGAGGGAGGAGGAGGAGGAGGGAGGAGGAGGAGGAGGAAGGAGGAGGAGGAAGGCCAGGCGTCCACAGTTTTGGGCGCAGGGCTGCAGGTCAGGAGGCGGCCGCTGTCGGCGGCGAGCGAGGGGGGCAGTGAGAGGGAGAGGGCCTTCTCTGAAGGCGGCGGGGCTGCTCAGGAGCCCTCGCGCCTTCTGAGGGGTGCTCTGTGTCTTGGGGGGCGGCTTCGAGCAAAAGCTTCTCGGAAGGCCGGGGGGGGCGCTCGAGCCTTCCGAGAAGGCCCGCCCCTCCTCAATTCCCCCCCCCCGTGTCTCGCCGCTGGCAACTCCAGGAGGTGGGCGGTCCTTCGCGGTGGGGGTGGGGTTTCGACGGGCTGGTGTCCGCAGGGGGCCAGAGGGCGGGTGGCAGTAGGGGCTTGTCCAGTGGAGGGGAAGCCGAATTGCCCAAAAAGACGGAACATAGATCAGGCGTTCCAACAAGGGCCTTGCCTTCGAGGATCGAAGGGGTTGCCATCTCTTCCGCGGCGGAAGATCGGCGGAAGTACAACAAGGCCGCCTCCGCCGGCGGAAGCCTTCGGAAGGGCGGCGGAAGGTGGCGGAAGCGAAACATGCGCCCCCAAGAGATGAGCACGTTTCTGTGTTCAGGGCTAAATCGGCCATATGGTGATGTGGGCATTTGTGCCTAGCTCTTTATGTGTCCCTGGGCCCCTGCAGATGTGGGACCTCCCACACCTCGCGCCACGAAGCAGCCACGAGCCCCAGTTTCGCTCACAATTTTTTGATGGGGAGGGCCGCGTCTGGGCACATGAGCCATCAAGAGACTGACCGCCCCGAGGCACCAGCCGAGGGTGGAGGGGCCGACGGCCCTGGGGCCCGCGGGCCTCACAAAACTTGTGGCGCCGGAGGTCAGGGTATGCAGACGTCAGGCTTTGAAGGCTACGGCAGGTTCGTGCGGCGATGCCGCGCCGGCGACGCCGGCGAAGGCGTTCAAGGTTGAATGCTGCGACGCGGAAGCACCGAGGGGCACGGTGGCGCCACTGGACCTGACGGAATTCAGTCCTGAACGACTGGGGCCGCGATCGACGCTGTGTCAAAACCCGTTGCGCGCGCCGACGCCGCACGAGCCCGCCGTGGAGACGGGGCTGCCCCTCTTTTACGACTCGGGGCCTGGGATGTCCGCTCTGGGCCCAGGGCCTGCAAATGAGTCCTTCCCTCCCGCAGCATGAAGACCCGCACTGAAGGTCTGGACGAGACCGCCATGGCGCGAGGAAGGATCAGGCTGGAGGAGGAGGAGGAGGAGGAGGAGGAGGAGGAGGAGGGGGAGAGGAGGAGGAGGGGGAGGAGGAGGAGGAGGAACGGGAGGAGGAGGGGGAGGAGGAGGAGGAGGATCATGGGGATGATGATGATGATGATGATGATGATGATGATGATGATGATGATGATGATGACGACGATGACGATGATGATGATGATGATGATGATGATGATGATGATGATGATGAGGAGGAGGAGGAGGAGGAGGAGGAGGAGGAGGAGGAGAAGGAGGCGGAGGAGGAGGAGAAGGAGGAGGAGGACGAGGAGGATCTCGACCGAGGGCCGCCAGAGTTCTGGATCTGGGTCTTCTCAGCCACGCGCAGAGGGGGTAGGGGGAGGGTGGGAGGCTTCTTAGAAGTAGGTTGCTTCTCCGAAGGCGCGGGCCTTATCTATAGATGTAAGGCCAGCGCCTTCTAAGCAGGGGTGCTTCTAAGACGCCTTCCCCCCTCCCCCATACCCCCTTCTGCGCGCCGCCAGTGGAGGCTGGGGCCACCCGCTGGGACGCCAAAGTGATTGCCCTTCGTGTTTCGCGGTCTTGCGAGGGGGGAAAGGTACCCATACCGCTACCCTTCCCTCGTTTTACCCTTCTTTTGGGCCTCCTGGGAGGCCCTCGTCGCCACCGCTGGATTCGCCTCGGAATTCTGGTCAGAACGCGCCCCGGGAGAGGTCCTGAGAGGGGAGCAGCGGTATCAGTACCTGTTGGTTCCCCCCAAACTGGAGAGGTTCACGACTGCAGAATCGATTCACCCCGAGTCTGATTTTCCGCCGAATCTATAAAATGATGTTCCTCATATCTGCGGAGGCCTCGACGTTCTATGCGTAGAGTGACGATCCATTCTGGGGTCAATCCATTCTGTAGTCGATCCCCGGCTCGAGCGGTGTACGTGCTGGTGCCACCAGGCTTCGAGGGGCGCCGCCTCCTTTTGCTGTCCCTCCTCCTTGGCCTTCCGCGGCGATTTCCCCCTCGGCGGCCCTTCCCCTCGTCCCCGCCGGTGCCCCCGTTCGGCCCGAGCAGCTGGCTGGCGGGCGGCCGGCGGGTGATGTCGCGGAGCGCCCCGATACGCATCCAGCTGAAGCAGCGCTCCGGGCCAGGAGCGCAGCCCAGCGGGCGATCGAGAGACTTGCTGCTTCTTCTTCTTCTTCTTCTTCTTTTTGCTCTTAGTCTTCTCCTGTTCCTCGTCTATTTCCAATCTGCGTCAGGTTTGGCCAGCGTGAGCCGCCGCGTCTTGTCACCGCGATTTGGTAGAAAAACGCCAGAACGCACGAAGAATCTCCTTCTCCTCCTTCCCCTCCTCCTCCTCCTCCTCCTCCTCCTCCTCCTCCTCCTCCATGTTCTCCTCCTACATCGCCATTTTGGCTCAATTTGTTGGGCTCATTCGGATTCAAACCGTTTCGAAACATTTCCCAAGGCAGCTGGCCCTTCAGCTTCGTTTTTCCGTATCTCGAGGCCTCCCGCGGTTGCCCAGCTTGCTGTGCCCTTCAATATCAATATGCAGAGATTCACGTTTGCATTCTATCCAATCCACTGAAGTAACATGCAAATATCCGGGTTGGCTCTTCTCTCACGTGGCATCGGACAGGCTGTTCGTGGAGTTGCATGCTTGGCCGTTACCACTGGACACAGACAGCAACTCCTCCCGTGGTGATTCCAAATATCGCAGTAACGCCAGTGGATATCGTAGGAGAAGAGGCCGTCATCATCGTGATTCAGATTGCAGGCGAGACCGAGACAGAGACAGCTATCGTGACCGACAACGTCGCCAAGGTGGACGTCGCCACTATTATTCATCAGCGGAAGACCATCCCCGACATAGAGGACATAGTGGATGCTCATTGGGGTCACTCGGCAAAGATAGATCCGCTCAGCCAGCCAGGTTCCGTTCCGCAGCCGATGAAGCATAATGGCAACGGCGTCAGCTCGAGTAGATGGACGAGTTCGCCACTTCCCCATCGCAGGAGCAAGGCGGATGGTTTGCCGCTTAAGCAGCTCGCGCAGTTCTGCAGTGAGCTTCCCACTACCGCCCCGCAGCGCCAGCAGCCGCGCTGCATGCTCCAGATGGACAAGAACAGGATTTCAAGTCCATCAAACAAGCCCAAGTCAGACAGGAACCGCAACATCAATAAGTTTCGGACGCCACCAGTCGCATCAACCAGCAGCGCAGCCTCGCCGACGCCGGCGTTCTCGTCCTGGGCATGGCCAAGCTCTCATACTGGGATCGCGACCCAGACCCCGCCATTTTCGTTCTCTCCTGCGCGCAGCCCGTTGCACCAGCTGCAGTGCACACTGCCATGACTGAGCGGCTGGAAGGGGCAAGCTTGGGTGCGCAACATGTCCGGCTTCATGGGGGAAGGGCCCACCAGTCGCTTCATGATGCAGATCCTCGGGGGCCGCGAGGCCGCCGTGCCTCGGGCAGCCGCGCTTGCGCGCGTTCTTCAGCTCCCAGGACGTGGAGGGCACCGCAGGTTCACAGCTCTGACCCCGCCAGGCCCTACTCTTATTGTCTTCCTCATGCAAGGCCAGGCCTCGCCACCCACCTTTGAAGCATTGAATTATTGTGACGAGCCCTCCCGTCTTGTGCCCCGCGACGTTTTGCCCTTGCCGCGCAGTGCGGCCGAGAGAGTTCGAGGGGCGGGTCAGGGGTTGTCCCGCTGTGTCCGACAGAGGCTCGGTAAGCGTGAGAGTTTCGAGCTGGACTACGATCGAGCGGCCTGGGCTCTGAACTGCAAGTATCTTCGCCAGGATCAGCTGCCCGTGGGATCTGGCTCAGATCGTGCAGTTTTTGTTTCCCAGGGCCAGCGCCGCTGTCTCGATCGAATACGGGACTCCGTTGCTGCCCTTGGGCCGCCTCCGCCGGAGGTGACTCCCTCAGAAGCTCTGACGAAGCTTCGCGAGGCGAGCTGCTATGACGTAGACTCTGCCTTGCTCGGCTTCTACAACCCCGCTGACATCTTGCCGCCCTCTGGCGCGCCAGCACCGGTGCCGCTGGGGGATCTGCGGGGCGCGGGCGTGTCGGATATGATTAGGAACTTCGTCCAAAGCCGACTGCTGCCACCTAGCGAGGCAGTTGTTTGGCTCGAGTGCGCTCAGGTGGCGGTGCCTTGCAGCGGCCCTAAGCTGCGCCGTGTCGCGGCCTTTGTGGAATTCATTCGCGTGCCTTGTATCAGCGTGCCATGGGTGATTTCATTTTCTCCTGTAAGGAGAGGGTCGAGGCTTCCCTTGTTCTTAAGAAATCCGGGAAGCTCCAGCTCGTGGTAGATTTTCGTGGGAGTAATTGTCACTTCCAGGACCCTGCCTCCGTTTCCCTCCTGGAAGGTGAAAGCCTCGCCGGGCAGGGGCTCGGCGAGGGTGGGAGTTTTATGTCGGGGGTGCCGATCTTTCAGACGCCTTCTATCATATGTAGCTGCGTGCCTCGCGCAGGCCTTCCTTCTGTCCTGGGGCTGTGCGGGCTGGGGCGGTGGGGCGCGTAATGGCCGGTGGGGAACCTGTCCCTCCGACTGCGATGGTGCGCCCCAGACTGGCGGTGATCCCGGTGGGCTGGAGTCGGGCTTCCTGGGCGAGTCAGACAGTGCATGAGTGCATCGTTGAAGAAGCCGGAGCGCCCGCCCACAATCGCATTGTGGATGAGCGAGTAGCGCCAGGCTTGACTCGGGCGTGCCACTCGCAGGACGTCGACCACTTTGCCGCGGTCTCCACCGATGCCGCCGCCGTCCGCGCCCTCGTTGCCGATGCCGATGACGTTTTTCCCTCACTGTGCGTGCCCAGAGTTTCGCTTCGGGCCTGGCAGGCTGGCTGAGGTTGCGTGTGAATGGTGGTCGGACTGGAGACATGTGGCGCCTTGCGGGTTCCCAAGAAAAAAAAAGAACAAAAAAAACAAAAATCGAGCTCTTGAGGGTCGAGGGCTGGCTGTTCACGAAGAGGAGCATGCGGCGGGGGCAAGGTCGCCCAGGTGTTGGGGTGGCAGATCGACGGGCCCCCGGGCCGCGCCGCTGCCTCCCCCGCTCGCCTCTGGAGGGCCCGCCTGGCCATTCGGGCGGCCCTCCGGAGGGGTGGGTGCTCTGGCCGGGACCTGGGGCGCCTGTTGGGCCACCTTGTCTTCCTCTCCCTGGCGCGCCGGGAGGGGCTGTCTCGCTTCTGGTCCTCCTGCGCGCCCATCGGGAAGCATTGCTCCCGGGGAGCTCGACTCTGGGCGTCCGTGCGTCGTGGGCTTGCTCTGGGGTGGGCTCGCTCCTCTTCTCTGGCGTGATCTTCGGGCTGGGTGGGGCGATGGCGTCGTGGCCGTCGACGCCGGCGAGTGGGGGCTGGGGGCGAGTGCCGCTCGCCATGGGGCCCCTTCTGGCCCGAAGCGTCGGCAAGACCCCCGAGCGTTGGCGGCGGGGTGGGGCTGGCGCGGCCCCTGGACCTCGTCGCCGCGCGCTGGACTTCGCTCGACACGCTGGGGCGGCGGCCGTCGGGCGAGGCTCGCGAGGCGGCCCCCTGAATTGCCGCGTCCCAGGAGGCTTGGGGACCGGGGCCCCCTCCCGCCCTCAGCCCCCAGAAGTCGGGTCAGGTGTCATCGAGAGCCCCAGGGGCACGCGCGGCTCTGGGCGCGTCGAGCGGCTCGTCGAGTTCCCTGGGGCCCCCGGGCAGATGATCGAGCTCGACTGGTCGGTCGCAGGGCGCTTCCCGTGGAGGCGCAGGGGAGCGGGGCGTCGCCGCGTGCGAAGCCCGGGCTACCCTTTTTATGGTTTTCGTCGGCCCCGGGGGATTCGCAGTCGACGGCGGGGGCTGTTGCGAGGTTTGGGGGCGACATCAGGGGCGCGGTGAGGGTGACCCAGTCGATCGCGACCCTGTCGCTTGCTACCGGGTCCTCGCTGCGCTATCATTGGCCCCCCTCCGAGTGGAATGGCTGACTCCCGCGCCGCTGGCGCGCCCGCCGCGGCCGAGCTGGCGCCGCCCCGCGCTGGCGCCGCCGGGGGCTCCGCTGGTCCAGCGGACCGCGGCGCGGGCGGCGATGGCGGCGAGCTTCTCTTCGTCTGTGGTCCGTGGCGGGCCCCGCCGGCGGCCCGCGGCCGCGGGGGAGGCGGGCCCCGCCCAGGGCTCGCCCGGCAGTGCCGGCCACCCAGTCGTGAAGAGGAAGCCGAAGGAGAAGGCCCAGGTGGCGTCGCGGCGCCAGGCCGCCGCTGTGGCGGTCGGAGGCCTCGCGGTGCTGGAGACCGCGTCGGTCCGACCGCGGGCGCAGGTGAAGTGCCGGTCGATGTTCCAGGACTTCCAGTCCTGGCTTCAGGCGCCCGTCCCGTCCGCGGAGGCGGAGGTCGACGCGGCGCTGGCGAGCTGGCTGGGGGCCGTGCTCCTGGGCGGCGAGAATCCGGGCATGGCGCGGTAGGGCTTCGCGGCAGTCGCGTTCTCCACGGGGCCCCAGAAGGTTGCGGGGCCCTGATGCCCCGCGGCCGCAGGGCCCTTCAGGGGTTCAAGCACCTCGACCGCCCGAAGTCGAGACTGCCTTTCCCGCTGGGGGCGGTGGCTCTGATAGCCAGCGAGTTCGTGGCGCTCGGGATGCTGAGCCGCGCCCTTGCGCTCCTCGTGATCATCGAGCTGTGCGTTCGGCCGGGGGAGGTGTTCACGATCTGGGTCGGGGATCCAGCGCCGCCGGAACCCGGTGCTGCGAGCGCGCCCAGCTGGGCCATCGCCCTCCGCGCCTCCGAGGCGTGGCGGTCGTTCAAGGCCCGCGAGTTCGACGACGCTCGGATGCTGGGCTTCGACCGCCGCGCCCCGCTCGGCCCGGCCCTCCAGGCGCTGGGGAGGGGGCGGGCCGCCAGCGCCCTCCTCTTCGGCGGGTCGCTGAAGGGCCTGGCCTCAGGGCCAACGTAGGTGGTGAAGGCCCTGGAGCTCGCGAAAAATCTGCTTTCTCAAAATGAATTGTCAAATATCCTTCAATTTTTCGCAAAACCACCGAAAAGTTATCACTTTGTTCTTTCTGGCCGGGTCGGCCAACTAGCTCCACCCCGCGCCGCGTCCGCCTGTGCCAGCTCGGGCGCGGCGGCGCCTTGCGCGACTACGCCTCGGGCTCGGGGTCTGGAGGACGTCCGGCTCCGCGGGCGCTGGCGCTCGCGGGGATCGGTCGGGCGGTGTGAGACAGGCAGCGGGATCGGCCAGATGCTCCTCAGGTTGTCCGACGACCTCCGCGCCCGCGCGCTGTGCTGCGAGCGCTCGCTGGACGCCGTCGTCCGCGGCCGGCCTTCTCAGGCGGCCCCCGACCCCGGGCCCGCCCGTTTCTTCCTTGATCATCCTGGTGCCCAGGCAGCTCGGCCACGCGGTCTCGCGTCAAGGCGTGAAAGTGCTGCTCTGGGACTTGGTGCTCGGGCCCGACTATGACCTTCGTCGGGCCCGTAATCTGAGGCTGGGTCCGCTCTGGCATCGTGATCGGGGTCCACTTGGGCATCCCGTGCTCGTCTTTCTCCAGGGCTCGAGATGTTCGCCGAGGGCCTCCGCCGCTGAGATCCGACACCTCTCCCATGGGCCTGGAAGGCCTCAGCCCTGCCGATGCCGACAAAGCTCGCGTGGGCAACCTGCTGATGCTTTTCTTCGATCGCCATTGTCTGTGACGCCATGCTCGTCGGTATCCCAGCGACGCATGATAATCCAGCCAAGAGCTGGCTTTGGCTGTGCCCAGCGGGAGCTTTCCTCAGCGCGGGCCTGTGCGTCGCCAAGCTGGCCGACGCCCGCTGTCTCGGTGCGAGGCGAGGGCTTTGCAAGCGCGCGGACCTCCCCCGCATCGCCATCCAGGGAAAGGACCGAACAGGGGTCTTCAGGTCCAAGATTTCCGAGTCCTGCCCCACTCGCCTCTGCAGCGCTCTCTCCCTGTCTTACTACAATGCGTGGGGTCCGTCCAAGGCCGAGTCCTTCGAGCATCGATTGTCTGCGGCCTTGAGTAGGCCAGCGTGCTGATCGGGTGGTCCTGATGGTCCGTCAGAGTTGGTGGTCGCTCGAGCTCGGCCCGCTCTGGCTCGCTGGCCTCGTGGATCTCGCTCGCAGAGGTGCTCGACTTGTGGCCCGCCGTCTGGCTGTATAAAGGAGCTCGGGGGGATGATGCTGATGCTGATCGTGATGATGATTACGATGCTGGTGGTGATGGCGATGTGTTGATGCTGTTCATGACGGCGATGATCATTATGATTATCACGATCCGGTTGTTGATGATATGGTTGATGATGTAGCTGATTATCAAGGTGTCGATGGTGATGCTGCTGATGAGTGTGCTGATGATTATGTTGATCTTGATGATGATTGCTGATGGTGATGCTGATGACGGTATTGTTGATGATGATTCTGCAGATGAAGAGTTCTTCCAGTGCGCTCGGCTGCACGAGCCCGCGACAGGCAAGGTTAAGCTCGGGCGGCACTCACATACACCTCTCAGTAGCCTCGCATGGGAAACGCGTTCGAGCTTGAACCAGAGGCGGCACTGCCGTCCAGGGGACAGCATCGCGAGCAATCTCATTGCATAGCACGATCGCAACCTCGCACACAAAGCATGGGCACCCGCGAGCGGAAGAACGCCGCGGCGGACTGGGCCGCGGGCCCGAGCGAGAGCGGCCACATCGCCCATCCGAGGCCGGCAGCCGGCCCTGGCCGCACAGCCGGGCCTCCACGCGGTCGCGCGAAGATCCGGCCTCGGCCGGCTGCTGCGCCGGCGCCGGCTGGAGAGCGCTCGTCGCACGCGGCCACCAGATCCGGCCGAATCCGAGCCGGTTGGGGCAGCGCGCGTGGGCCCCTTGCGCGAGTGCGGGCCAAGGCCAAGAAGGAATCGCGGACCGCTCGCGCACGGAGCCTTGGGCCCCAGTGCTTCGAGCCAAGCGTGGCAACTGAGGAGGAGCAGGGAGGGGAAACGCGGAACGACTCGGGCCCAACGAGAGAGGGGGATAGGGAAAGGGAGGCGGGTTGCGAAGCTGCTGCATGCAGCTGGTTTCGGCCCCGCCGCCGGGCCTATTCCTCGATAGCTGGGCGCCTCCCAGCGCCGGGAGGCGCCAGGAAAGCCAGCTGCGAGAGCCGATTCTCGACCCTGCCCTTTGCCATCCTGCCCTTCCGCCCCCCCCAAGAGGGAAGCGAGGGAGGAGGAGGAAAGGAAGGGAAGGGGAATGAGGAGGAAGGGGGAGGGGAGGAGGAGGAAGGGAGGGGGAGGGGCAGGGGAGGGGAGGAAGGGAGGAGGAAGGGAGGAGAGGAGCGGACGGAGGGGGAAGGGGGAGGAGGAGGAAGGGATGGGGAGGGGAGGAGGGAAGGGAGGAGGAGGAAGGGAGGGAGGAGGAAGGGGGGGGAGAGGGGAACGAGGGGCCGTGGGCTCCCCTCGCTCCCTCTCCCCCCCCTGCATGCGAATTCGGCGCCCTGTCTTTTTGTCTACTCTGCTTCACCCTTGTACAGGCCACGGACCTCCAGCCTTATCGATGCGATGCGATGCGATGCGAAGGGAGGGGGAGGGGAAGGGAAGGTGGTAAGGGGGAGGGACGAGGAGGACGAGATAGGATGAGCGTGCCTCGAGCCTGGCCTGGGGCTGGGCCTATCCTGGACCCATGGCGGGCTCAATTGGGCGTCTCCGCGGCGTCCTCTGCGCCATCCCCTTGGCATCGCCCAGACGTCTGCGTTCTTATCGGCGAGCACCCTTGAGGAGCATCGTGGGCCACCTTGCGAAAAAATCGCACACGAAGCCGACACATGCACAGAGAGTGGACGTCCAGGGCTCGAGCTAAAGGCTGTTCGGGCGATTTCGTGTGGGCCGTCTTCGTTTGGATCTCGTTCTGCAGCACAGGTGGAACGCAGGCAGAACGAGGAAGACCGAAAGCACACATCGAAAACACAAAACACTGCTCAGCTCGAGCCCCGTGCCATTCCACGGCGCAACGTGCCCCCCCCTCCTCCTCCTCCTCCTTCTCCTCCTCCTCCTCCGCCTCCTCCTCCTCCTCCTCCTCCTCCTACCTCCTCCTACCTCCTCCTCCTCCTCCTCCTCCTCGTCCTCCTCCTCCTCCTCCTCCTCCTCCTCCTCCTCCTAAAAGAAGAGACGCCATGCTGAAAACAAGTGCAGTGGGACTGAGGTACGAGATCGAGGTCGGTTCGGGGAGGGTGCCCTCGTCCTCCTCCTCCTCCTCCTCCCTCCTCCCCTCCTCCTCCTCCTCCTCCTCCTCCTCCTCCTCCTCCTCCTACCTCCTCCTCCTCCTACCTCCTCCTACCTCCTCCTCCTCCTCCGCCTCCTCCTCCTCCTCCTCCTCCTCCTCCTCGTCCTCCTCCTCCTCCTCCTCCGCCCCCCCCCTGGAAGCCCCCCGAGGAGCGGCGCCCTCGCAGCGCGCGCCGCGGGGCAGCTCGCCGAGCCGGGGCGGCTCGGAGGAGTCGGCGGGCCGGCCCCTCGCCGCCAGGGGGGGCCTCTCTTGCGGGCGGCCGTAAGGCGGCCGTCTCCGGAGGCCTCCGCGGGCCCCCCCCAGAGATCCAACGCATTGGCAAAAATCAAGACGGAGGTTCTTCTCGACTTTCGGCCTCTATTGGAGGTTGATAGGCCTCCTACCTTGACGCGTCGATTAAGGAACTGGCCGTTTTCGGTTCGCCAGAGGGAGTCGCGGCCGACATTTGTGCGGGTCCAGGTCCGCCGGCTTCGGTCCCAGGCCGCTTTCACTGAGGGGAGGTTTGCTAAAGGGAGGTTCGTCCACCGCCGAATCGACAAAATCAAGACGGAGGTTTTTCTCGACTTTCGGCCTCTAGGGGCCCTCGCTGGGCCCCGGGACCGTCAAAAAAGACTCGGGATGAAAAACAACTGGTCCTGGGGAAGGGGTCGAGTCTTCGGGGGGCCGCGCACTGAAAAAAGCACGGCGTCGGATCTCTGGGCCAGACCCCCTCGGGTCACGAACAGAACCGCCAAGCGAGGCTTTTCCATGTTTTCGGTTGCTGGGCCCCGGGGCCGTCACAAAAGGATCGATGAAAAGCCGGCCCCAGGGAATGGGTCGAGACCTCCCCTGAGATCCGAGGTCGCGACAAAAACTGCAACATTGTACAACATCGCGGCTGGAGCCCTGCACCCCATCTTCCTGTGCCATTTTTCGAGCCCGATCGATCTGGGAGGGTCCCCTGGCCCCAAAAAATGCGAAAACGCCTGGCGCGAAAAAATGGAGACGCCAGGATCTCACTGCCCCGGGGGTCGACGTTGTGAGCACATCATGGCGTCGGGGGTCTGAGTCGGCAGGGCCCTCGCGGGCTCTTGCTGCGGATGTCCGCGGAGCCCTGCGCCGCGGCCTCGGGTCGGGGGAGGCCCTCGGGGGAGGCCCTCGGAAGTCTGCACGCAGCGCGGGGTGATCGTCGCCGTCGTCGTCGTCGTCATCCTGCGTCAAAACGCATCTCTTGTCTCGCGGCGGTTTTGTCAGGGGGGGGCCGGAGGTCTTGGAATTCGATGCAATTTTGTGGAGTATGCCCGTAACTCGCGCCTTTTTGGGGGGCCCGCAGTGAGTTAATACGGCTCGCGAGGGGCGAGTTCTACCCCTCGGATTGGCAACACCAGCGCTTGCGACAGGCTTCCGAATCCTAAGTGCATCTCGATCTTGGGGCATCCTTCGGAGATTTGAGGCACGGGAAGGTGCGCCAAACGATTCGCCCACCCTCCTTCCTGCAGGAAGGAGGACAGGGGAGGAGATGGAGGAGGAGAGGGAGGATATGCCCCAGGAGGAAGAGGAGCATGAAGAGAGGGAGGAGGAGGAGAAGGAGGAGGATAAAGAGCAGGAGGAGGAGGAGGAGGCGGAGGAGGAGGACAGCGGCGGATGAGGAGGAAGAGGAGAACTGATAATGATGACGATGATGCTGCTGCTGATGATGATGATGATGGTGGTGGTGATGATGATGATGCTGATGCTGATGATGATGATGATGATGATGATGATGATGATGATGATGAGGAGGAGGAGGAGGAGGAGGAGGAGGAGGACGACGACGATGATGATGCTGCTGATGATGATGGTGATGATGATTGATGATGATGACGACGACGATGATGATGATGATGATGATGATGATGATGATGATGATGATGATGGTGGTGGTGGTGATGATGATGATGATGATGATGATGATGATGAGGAGGAGGAGGAGGAGGAGGAGGAGGATGAGGAGGAGGAGAAGGAGAAGGAGGAGGAGGAGGAGGAGGAGGAGGAGGAGGAGGAGGAGGAGGAGCGGCGCCAGCGCAGTACTCCCGATTTCCACTGTGCCCGAGCTCTGACGGTGTCGCCAGCCTTGGGGGGCGCCAGAACTGCCGTGGCTCCCTCGGTGACTCGGGCCGCCCCGAGTCACAACGTCCGTGCTCGGGCACATGCAGCTCGCCCGTGCAGAGTCCTGGCTCGCGCAAGAGGGGGTACTCGCATCATATAATCTAAAGAAAGAGCAGCAACGTTCATGGACTCCAGGTTTCGCCCAAGAAATTTAAGAATCTGGGCTGGGCCCTGGGCGCGAGCTTTTCTTATTCGTAGAATGTCCGTATATGTGGACCCGAGCAACTGCACGCTGGCTCCTGCACGTGGTCGATGCAGGCTCAGCCGGTGTGAAGCGTGCGTGAGCGAGCTGGCGCGAGCGTTGTAAAGGCTGGCGGGGAAAAGTGTGGACCTGAGCAACTGGTTCAGAGAGCGCTCCGAGTGCAGTCCATGTTCTTAGCCCAAGAACTCCTTAGCTCTGGGCAAGGGGGGCAGCTGCTCACGGGGATCCGCCGATCCCCTCTGGCCGACCCCGGTCTGGGGGCCGCGTGGGGCCGCCTCTCTTGTCGGAAGCCTCGGGCGGCCTCGGCGGCCCTCGGGGCCCCCCCCCAAGGGTTCTTAGTTTTGCTCCCCCACCGACTCTCTCGGGGGGGAAGAACCTCGACCCTCCTCCTCCTCCTGCCTCCTCTGCCTTTCCTCCTCCTCCTCCGCCTGCCTTTCCTCCTCCTCCTCCGCCTGCCTTTCCTCCTCCTCCTCCTCCTCCTCCTCCTCCTCCTCCTCCTCGTAACTCCTCCTCCTCGTCACCCCTCCTCCCCCTGCCCCCGCCGACCCGCGGCGGGCCGGGGCTCGCGGCGTGGCCCGCTGCCCTGGCTGGCCCAGGCTGCGGTGAGGAGCCTCTGGCCAGCGTTGCGTCGGGCCTGCCCCTCTCGGCCCGTCCCTCTGCATCTGGGGGCGATTTGTTGACTACCTTCGATCCTTTTTGGCCCCTCCTCCTCCTCCTCCTCCTCCTCCTCCTCATCCGCCTCCTCGCGATCCGTCTGGCCCCTATGGGCCGCCAGGCATAGCAGAAAACCGAAACCCCGACACAAACTGAATCCATAGTTTCTCTGATATTGTTAGAGTACTCTTTACCTTCCCTCCAAAATCCGCCTGTAGAGGGACACGCCCGACCTGAGGCTGCGGTGAGGAACTTTTGGCTAGCGTGTGAGGCTGCCGGCTCTGGCCCGCCGCGCTGCGGCGCGACACCAACAATACCAACATTACCAACAATACCAGTAACCTCGGAGGGGGCGCCAGCAATACACCACCACCAGCCCTGGGCAGGTCCGTCCTGTGCCCTGGACTGGTGTATAGACCTCCAGGCCCAGGCCAGGCGCGCCCGTAAACCAGTCCAGGGCCCAGGATGGTCCTGGCCAGGGCTGGTGGTGGTGTATTGTTTGGAGCTCTCCTATAACCACTTCCCGGTCCCCAGGCGTCATCTTCCTGAGCCTCTCCCAGCCTCCAGCCCCGCGGAGCGGAGCGACACGCCATCCGCTTGCAAGGCATAGCGTGTCTGCGGGGCCGCCGCCGCGACGCGTGAGGCAGAAGTTCCTGAACGTAGCGCTGACCCCGGCCATCGGAGCCCCCGACGAATGAGAGGGGCCAGGGCCCTGCACGAGAACTGTCCCGGCGCGCCGTGCGGGTGCTGGCCTGGCGATGCTCTTCGCTGCGTGGATGCCTCCCCCCATGTTGTGGGTGGAAGCCCCCGACCTTCCCCCATCGCTTGGTGCTGGGTCCGCCAGATTCGGGAGGGGAAAAAAACACACAGACACAATGAATCTTCGATCCCCAGGAAAATACGGGAAAATATGGGAAGTGCAGGGGAAGACAAAAACCCAGAAAGTATGGGAAAATGTGAGGGAATCCTGTTACTTGTGTGTTTTTTGTTGTGTGTCCCAGGGCCCCTTCACAGATGAGCGACGCCAAAAACAAGCGGGGTCGTCTGCGCCGACATTGGCGCGAAAGCTGTCCGCGCAGGGCCGCGCGTGGGCGCCCTCGTCTCCAATGTGGCGTGCCGCGCGGGCGGCCCGCGTGAGCTGCGGCGCGAGGGCGCCGTGCCCTCTCGCGTAAGACCCCCCCCTTCTGACCGTCGCTCCTCCTCCTCCTCCTCCTCCTCCTCCTCCTCCTCCTCCTCCTCCTCCTCCTCCTCCTCCTCCCCTCCTCCTCCTCCTCCTCCTCCTCCTCCTCCTCCTCCTCCTCCTCCTCCTCCCCTCCTCCCCCCCTCCTCCCCCCTCCCTCCTCCTCCTCCTCCTCCTCCTCCTCTCCTCCTCCTCCTCCTCCTCCTCCTCCTCCTCCTCCTCCTCCTCCTCCCCCTCCTCCAGTTTTCTCGCCACTCGTTTTTGTCGCCTCCCTCTCGGGCCGAACGAAAGGGGGGGATAGGGAAAGGGAGGGGGTCCGAAATCTGCTGCGTACAGCCGGGTTTGGCCCCGTCGCTGGGCCCATTCCTCGATATACGTGGGCGCCTCCTGGCGCCGGAAAGTGCTGGGAAAATCAGCTGCGTGAGCTGATTCTCTGCCCTGCACTCTGCCATCCTGCCCTTTCGCCCCCCCCCTCCCCCCCATCCCCCAGAGGGAAGCGAGGGAGGAGGAGGAGGAGAGGGGGAAGGGAATGAGAGAGAGAGCTACGTAAGCTGGTTATCTACCCTGCCCTTTCTTGTGCCCCCCTTGCGTCCCCCCCGACCCTCTCCCGCCGAGCCTCCCTCCCTCGGCCCCCGGGCCGCCCCACCCTGCCCGTGGAGAGCACCCCCTCCTCGACTGAAGTCTGGCCTGTCCCTCTACATGAGGAGTATCCGAAGACAGTCAAACCATAGCCTGGGGAGGATTTTTCGATGAGCATATGTTTGTGATATGTTCTGACTGTTTCTAATTTTTCGTCCAAGATCCGCCTGTAGGGCGACATGCTCCATCCCGCTTAATCCCGCTAGATCCGGCTTAATCCCGCTTAGTCCGAAGCCCACTCTGGCGTAACAGCCCCGCAATGGGGCTTAATCCTCCTTAGTCTTTCCGACGAAGACCTCCCAGCAGTTGCTACCCCCCTTTCGTCCCCCCCGACCCTCTCCCGCCGAGTCACCCTCCCTCGGCCCCTGGGCCGCCCCGCCCCGCCCGCTGAGAGCACCCCCCGCTCGACTTAAGTCGGGCCTGTCCCTCTACAGGAGGGACATTCAAAAAATAGTCCAACTATGGCCTGGGGACGAATTTTCGATTACTCTCGAATATTTCTTGAACATGTTTTCTCTGACTCTTTTGAAGTTTTCGTCCGAAATCCGCCTGTAGGGGGACGTGCCCGACCTGATCCTCGACCCCCGCAGGAGCGGGCCCGCGCTCCGCCGGCCCCGCCGGAGCGGCCGCCGACGCCGCCGCCTGAGCCGCCCGCGGCCCCGTCGCGGAAGGAGCCTGCGCTCTGGAGTCTGCTGCTGCTTGCTGCTGCTCATCGTCGTCGTCGTCGTCGCCCACTTTTTCTCCTCCTCCTCCTCCTCCGTCCCTCCCTCCCTCCCTCCCTCCCTCCCTCCCTCCCTCCTCCTCCTCCTCCTCCTCCTCCTCCTCCCCCTCCTCCTCCTCCTCCTCTTCATGCTCCTCTTCCTCCTCGGGCATCTCCTCGTCCTCCTCCTCCTGTTCCTCCTCTTCCTCCTCCTCCTCCTCCTCCTCCTCCATCCCTCTTTCTCTTTGTTATCTCCTCCGTGTCGCATCCCCAGACGTGTCGGTAGGGCGAAACGCAACGCCTTGGGCGTTTCGTTTGAGATTTCCTCATCATGTACTGGATCCTGAAGCTTGAACTTTCGAGCAGTTTCGCGGATGGAGGTCGGGTCGTCTTCAAGATGTGGTTCTCACTTTCGCGCCTCGAACTTTCGTTTCAAAAGTGTGCACCAGTTAAGTCGATGGACGGCGAGTCGTTCTCAAAATGTGGCCCTCGCAGGCTTGCAACAGTTTCACGGATGGACGGTTTTTTGTTGCCAAAATTGACTTCTCGACCCAGCGCCGCGCACATTTCCGCAGCAGTTTCGCTGATGTTGGGCGGTTCCTTTTCACAACGCGGCTTTCGCCTCAGCGCCGCGCACACTCGTCTTGATTTTTATTCACAATTTCAAGGGTTCGTATGGTTGAAGTCGCAGGAATGCTGTTCCGACGCGATTTAGGATTGCCAGGGCGCCACAGTCAAGTTGATTCGCGGTGTTGAAGTCCCAGGAAAGGTATTCTGGTACAGTTAGGGTTGTCAGGACGCAACAGTCTCGCTGATCCGCGGCGTTGAAGTCCCAGGAACTGGTGTTCCGGCACGAGTGAGAATTCTCAGACGGTTGACTTCTCATGGGCCACTTCCCGCAATGCAGGCCAATTTTTGTAGGGACCTACAGGAGGGAATTTGGAGGGAGGGCGTGTTGCAATATTATTGATGCCTCTTGGGTTTGCACTGGTTTCCTCGTTCTCCTCCGACGAGGAGGGGGGCAAGGAGCATGAGGGGGGAGCAGGGATGGTAATGAGGGGGCTGGGATGGGTTGGCGGGTGGAAGAGCAGACTGGGGGACGTAAGAGAAGCCCTGATATCAAAATCTCAAAACAGGATGCGACATATAATCATCGAGAAACCCGGCTGCTACCATGAACACATACTTTTTGTTATTCACAATAGAAATTCGTTCCCGGCTGGAATGCAGAACTACCAGACATAACCATGCGTGCGACATGTTACCTCAAAAGCGCATTCCCACATGCAGCAGTTACCAAGACCACCCGACATATTTCAACACCCCAAGAATACAACAGCCGGCCCCGCCCCCAATCCATCCGCTCCCGACCCGAACCATCCCCCCCCTCCCACCCATCCCCCTCCGACCACTTGTGTGCGCGGAACTCTTCGAGGCCGGCTCGCACGTCGCGCGCTGTTGCAGGCTATTATGAAGCATGTCCCGAGTCTGTGTCAGAAGCCCGCGTCGGTGACAATTCGAGGATGATGATGATGATGATGATGATGATGCTGATGATGATGATGATGATGCTGATGATGATGATGATGATGATGACGATGATGATGATGATGATGATGATGATGATGATGATGATGATGATGATGATGGATGATTATGATGATGATGATGAGGAGGAGGAGGAGGAGGAGGAGGAGGAGGAGGAGGAGGAGCCTGTGTCAGAAGCCCGACCATGTCCCCAGTGCGATGCGCGCCGAGCTTCTGGATGCGGCGGCGACGCAGTTTATGGCTTCGCATGCTTGCGCTGCGCAGGGGCAGGCCGACGACGGCCTGCCTGCCTTCAGCGTGGCGTTCAAGTTCCACTTGGCAGCCCGCGTCGGTGACAATTCGAGGAGGAGGAGGAGGAGGAGGAGGAGGAGGAGGAGGAGGAGGAGGAGGAGGATGAGGAGGAGGAGGGAGGAGGAGGAGGGGGGGGGAGGAGGAAAGGGGGGGGAGGGAAGGGGAGGAGAGGAAGGAGGAGGAGGAGGAGGAGGAGGAGGAGGAGGAGGGAGGAGGAGAGGGAGGAGGAGGAGGGAAGGGGAGGGGGAGGAGGAAGGGGGGGGGGGGAAGGGGAGGAGGAAGGAGGGGGGAGGAGGAGGAGGAGGAGGAGGAGGAGGAGGAGGAGGAGGAGGAGGTACCGACGTGCAGCACAGAGCACGAATTCCAGGATGCGGCGGGGAAAGCAGCGCGTACCTCTCTAGCGCCATGCACTGCGTCGCTCGACCCCGACAGAGAAAACCCAGAGAGCGATGTCCACGTCGCTGTCCGCCTGCGCGCCTGGGCGTACGCGGTCGCGCAGGCTCTGGGGGTGGAGGGTTGCTCCGAAGGGCTCAGGCGACCCGCCTTCCTCCTTCTTCTCCTTCTCCTTCTCCTCCTCCTCCTCCTCCTCCTCCTCCTCCTCCTCCTCCATCTCCTCCTCCCCCTCCCCCTCCTCCTCCTCCTCCTCCTCCTCCTCCTCCTCCTCCTCCTCCTCCTCCTCCTCCCTCCTCCTCCTCCTCCTCGGGTCGCCCACGGCACTGGGAGAAACCGTGCATCGGGGGGTGCGCGCGTATAGCTGAGGTGGCGATAGCGACGGCAATATTTCAGAGGAGGAAAAGGTACTTACCCATGCCTCTACCCCCTCGCCCGTTTTCCCTTTTTGGGCCTCCTGGGAGGCCTTCGTCGCCACTGCTGGATTCGCTTCGAAATCCTGGTCAGGACGCACACCGGGAGAGGCCCGGGGAGTGACGGTATCAGTACTTATTTGGTTCCCCCAATTGTTCTGGTGGTAGGAAGGGGGTATGGTATAAAGGGGTGTGGTGCTGATTTCATGTAAGGGGGAATCTGGCAATGTTAGTTCTCGCAGATGGCATCGCCATTTCATCGATTGCTACCGTACCTCTTTATGAAAGCGCGCCACTGGATCACCCTGTAATTGAAAAGGGTGTGTGTGCTCGCAGAACCCCCCCCCTTCCCCCCTTCAGCGGGGGGGGGGTGGATTTTCGACCCGCCCCCCTCTCCCTAAGGGGGGGGGTCGGACCCCCCCTCCCGCCCCCCTTGAAGGGGGGGGGGTCCGTACCCCCCCCACCCTCCCCCCCTTGGCGCTGCAAAGGGGGGAGGGGTGTCGAACCCTCCCCCCCTTTTCCCTTTTGCGCCGAACAGGGGGCGGGGGGGGGGCCTCTCCCGCAAGGGGGGGGTTCTGGGCTCGGGATAGTGAGTAGTGAGTAGTGAGTAGTGAGTAGTGAGTAGTGAGTAGTGAGTGGTGAGTGGTGAGTAGTTAATATTGAGCAATGAGTAGATAGTAGCGAGTAATGAGGAGTGAGTAGTGACTAGTGGGTAGCGAGTAGTGCGCAGTGAGTAGTGAGTAGTGATTCGTGAGTGGTGGGCGGTGGGTAGTGGGTAGAGAGTAGTGAGTAGCGAGTAAAGAGTAGCGAGTAGTGGATCGTGAGTAGCGAGTAGGGCATTGTGAGCAGTGAATAGTGAGGAAGGACTAGTCAGTAGTGAGTAGTGCGTAGGGAGTAGTAAGTGTCGAGTAGGGAGTAGCGAGTAGGTAGTAGTGAATAGTGCATAGCGAGTAATGAGTAGTGAGTAGGGAGTAGTGAGTGGCGAGTAGTGAGAAGTGAGAAGTGGATAGTGAGTAGTGGGTAGTGCGTAGGGAGTAGCGAGTAGAGGGTAGTGAGTAGGGAGTAGTGAGTCGTGAGCAGTGAGGAGTGAGTACTGAGTAATGAGTAGTGACTTGTGACTAGTGACTAGTGACTATTGAGTAGGGAGTAGGCAGTAGGGAGTAGTGAGTCGTGAGTAGTGAGTACTGCGTAGTGGGTAGTGAATATTGCGTATCGGGTAGCGAGTAGCGAGTAGGGAGTGGCGAGTAGTGAGTAGTGAGTAGTGAACAGTGACAACTGTGTAAGGCGTAGGGAGTAGCGAGTAGCGAGCAGCGGATCGTGAGTAGTGAGTTGTTGGCAGTGAGTAGTGAGTAGTGAATTGTGAGTACTCAGTAGTGAGTAGGGGATAGTGGTTAGTGGGTGGTGCGGAGTGATTAATGAGTAGTGTGTAGTGGGTACTGAGTAGTGTTTACCCAGTGGTGAGTATTCAGTAGTGGGTAGTGAAAAAAAGTAGTAGTGAGTAGTGGGTTGGGAGTAGTGAGTAGTGAGGAGTGGGTAGTGGGTAGTGAGTAGTGGGTAGTGAGTAGTGAGTAGTGAGTAGTGAATTGTGAATACTCAGCAGTGAGTTCGGTTAGTGGGTAGTGAATAGTGATAAATGAGTAGTGAGTAGTGGCTAGTGAACAGTGTTAAGTGGGTAGGGAGTAATGAGTAGTGGGTGGTGAATAGTGAGTAGTGTGTTAGGAGTAGTGAGTAGCGAGTAGTGAGGAGTGGGTAGTGGGTAGTGAGTAGTGGGTAGTGAGTAGTGAGGAGTGGGTAGTGAGCAGTGAGTAGTGAAAAGTGAATAGTGAGTAGCGAGTAGTGATTCGCTGGTATAGTGAGTAGTAAATAATGAGTGATGAGTGCTGTCTGGGGCCAGGGTTAGGGTTTGGGGTTCGGGTTAGGGGTGGTCGGGGTGGTAGTGTTTAGGGGTGGTAGGGGCAGGGTTTCAGAGCCAGGGGGCGCCGTGGCGAAAGGGGGGGAAGGGGGGGGTCGAACCCGCCCTTTTCCCTTTCCAGCGCCAAGGGGGGGAGGGGGGGGGTCCGGACTCCCCACCCCCCCTCCCCCTTTTGAAAGCAGGGGAGGGGGGGGGTCCCCGACGACGGACCGGGAAACAGGGTGGGGTGGTCCCGACGACGGACCGGGAAAACGGGGGAGGGGCGGGGGGTCCCCGACGACGGATCGGGGAAAGGGGGGCCCCCCCCTTTTAGGGAGATCCAGCGGCGCGCCCTTCCCCTTTATGCCACACCGCTTTCCGACCTCCAGAATAGTGAGCGGGATGAGCGGGTGAGATTGAGAGTGGGCGGGTGGAGGGTCGGCGGGCGGGACGAAAGTCGGAGGGGCGCCAGCACTGCACCACCACCAGCCCTGGCCGGGGCCATCCTGGGCCCTGGGCTGGTGCACAGGCCTCCAGGCCTGGGCCATGGGGGGGCCCGCACGCCAGTCCAGGGCCAAGGAGGGGCCCGGCCAGGGCTGGTCGTGGCGCATTGTGTCTGGAGCCCTCCCGGCATGGCGAGAGGAGGGAGCCTGTCGGCGGCGGCGGCGGCGGCCTTCGCACGCACCGCGCGCCCATCCTCGTCGGCGCCACGGCGCAGTGTGGGCGGCGGGGGGGCGGCCCGCAACGGACCGAACAGAACGCCTTAACAATCGAGTTCAACGTGTGGGGGCGGGGCCGTGCGCCACGGCTGGGCGCCGTTCGGGCAACTTTTGCATCCCCCTCCCCCACTCCTCCCGCATGTTTCGAGGAGGGGATCGACTACTTAATTGACTTACCCCAAAATTGTGTTTTCCCGTCGAATCTATTAGAAATTCGTCATTCGGATGTTCCGTAGATCTACTGAGCAGTCTGCGTTCTGCGTATGTTTCGTAGATTCGACAGTAAAACCGATCTCGGGGTAAACCAATTTTGTAGTCGATCCCTTAGTCGAATGTTGTTCCACCCTCGCGACGCGTGGCCGCCCGTCGGCCGATCCACTGTCCGGCGCGTGAAAGGGCGCGCCCCAGCTGGGAATGTTCTTGTGGTTGAACTGTTTGATTTGTTGTTGCAGTGCCCTCCGTGTCTGTGCGCGCGGTGGCGCGGGATCGCGCGCGCAGTGGGCCCGAACGATTGCAGGCACAAGCGAAAGGCACACGCGCCCTGCTCTGAACGGGCGCGCGCGCGCGGCCGCGGAGATGCGCGTGGGTGGGAGGGGGTGGGTTTGTGTGTGGTGGGTGGGCGGGGGGGGGGCGGGGCTCGGGGGAGTGCCAGAGACAACCCTCCTCCTGTTTTGGGGGGGCTTGTTCAACTCTCCGATTTCCCCCATCCGTCTCCCACGCCTGCGCGTCGCCCTGCAGCGCAGATGGTGCTGCTTCTTGTGCATCACCGCGCGGCCAGATCCGCGCGCCTCTTATTCCCTCATTCCCGCTCCGCTCGCACCCGCGTGCGGGTTCTTCTCCTTTTCTCCTCCTTCTCCGCTCGCCCCCTCATTCCACGAAGTATCATGTGAGCACCCGTTCACACATACATATACCATATACATATATAAACACATGTATATACATTTGTGTATTTGTATATAGATGTATAAACATTTACACATCTAGACGTATATTTACATAATTGTCTATGGTTATACACCAGCATGTGTGCTGATGTGTATTGATTTTTGTACATGCCGATTGGATACCGCTAGATCAATGGCATAGTAGAGAGCGCTACTGCGATTCTGTGTTATTGGTAGGTCACAGGCAGATCCCCAGTAGTGCGACTCATCTGAACATCGGACATCAATGAGAAATCTCCTGTTGACGCTGGGCGTGTATGTGATATTTCGACCTGTAAACCGTCCCCCGAAACGCAGCCAGCCAATCCCGGTATCTCAAAATTCAATTCGCGATGCCGCGCGCTTGTGTTGATATTCCTTGTTTTGTGATTTGGATGGTTTGGGAGGAGAGGGTTGGGAAGGGGGGGCGGGCGGGAAGGGGGGAGGATAGGGGGAGGGAGGGAGGAAAGTAATTAGGGAGACGCAGCTGCAGCTGTAGGAAGAACCGAAGGAGGAAAGCGGAATAGGGAACATATCAAGATGAGGACGAGGTTCTTCCCCATTCCTCCTCCCTCCTGCCTCCTCTCTCCTCCCCCCTTTGTCCTCCGTGCTCCCTCGACTCTCGCGCCTCCGTTCTTCCCGCTCCCTGCTCCCTCTCTGCTCCGCTCCAATCTTTCTCGGATTTAGTGGCTTGAGTCCAGTGTGTGCGTCCGCTGCCCGGGGGGCGACCTTTTCAAAACGGGACCGCCGCTGGACAATTCGTAAATCCATGGACCTAGCTTCTCGAACTCCTGATCAGGGCTGGACCTGAACGGTGGCGTTTTCGTGGGCCGCTTTCGTTTCGATTTCGTTTTGCCGTGAAGGCGAGTCGAAAACAAAACGGGGGAAAACGAAAACAACACGAAAACGAAAGACACCGTTTAGATTCAGCCATGCTCCTGTTCACTCGCGAGAAGTGTGCAGGGCATTTCCGTGTCAACACGGGGCTCCCGCCCGAGAGGCAGGTCACTCGGGCGCTCGTTATTCGAGGGGGCGCTTCCTGTGGCGCCAAGGGAGGTCCTGTGAAAAAAGGGGACGTATCTCACCATCGTCGATGCTTCTTGGGCTTACTCTCGTTCCCCTCCTCATCACCATCCTCTTCCTCCTCCTCGTCCTCCTCCTTCTTGTCCTACTCCTCCTCCTCCTCCTCCTCTTTTTCCTCCTCCTTTTCCTCCTCCTTCTCCTCCTCCTCCTTCTCCTCCTCTTCCTCCTCTCTCTCCTCTCCCCTTTCAAGAGAGCAGTCGTTCGCCCCCACTGTCGCCGCGGGGGAAAGCAGCCCTCGAGGACGACGACGCCGATGACAGCGACACTTGGCGGCGGCGGCGGCGGCGGCTACGACGGCCGTCGCGGGAAGAGATCGATCCTCGAAGACAACGACGCCGAGGACCGCGACGCCGGCGGCGGCGACCATGGCCGCCGCGGGAGGAGATGTCCTCCTCGGAGGACATGGCCGTCGCGACCATGGCCGCCGCGGGCCTCTCGGAGGCGTCCGAGAGGCCCGCCGAGCCCTCCGAGGAAGAGGCGGCCCCGGAGGCCCCGAGGAGCGGCCCCGGCGAGGGCGCCTCCGCTGACGCGGCCCCGCCAGGGGGCGAGGCGCCGCCGGCGCCGCCAGGGGCGGCCACGCCCTCGGGAGTGCTCCTCCTCCTCCTGCTCCTCCCTCCCTACCTTCCTCCTCCTCGTCCTTTGTCCTCCTCCCTCCCTCCCTCGTCCTCCTCTCCCCCCTCTCCTCCTCCTCCTCCTCCTCCTCCTCCTCCTCTCCTCCTCCTCCTCCTCCTCCTCCCCCTCCCCTCCTCCTCTCCTCCTCTCCCTCCCTCCCTCCCTCCCTCCCTCCCTCCCTCCCTCCCTCCCTCCCTCCCTCCCTCCCTGCCTCTCTCCCTTTCTCGTCCCGGCGGCCACGGCCGGCCGCCTGCAGGCCGAGGGCCTTCCGCGGCGGACCCCCGGCAGAGCGCGGGCCCCCCGGAGGTTAGATCTCCCTTCTCCGGGGAGGAGGAGGAGGAGGAGGAGGAGGAGGAGGAGGAGGAGGAGGAGGAGGAGGAGGAGGAGGAGGAGGAGGGGGGCCCGCTGCTCGTCCCGATGAAGAAGCAGGCGATCGCCAGCATGGCTCTGCATGCCCTCGCGTCTTCGCGCAGTATGCCTGGCTCCCCCCAGTGAGGTGCCATCGTGTCGATGATGCCCTCGTGCGTCCCAGCTCTGGCAGGCGATCGCAGACAAGGATCAAGGGGGCGTGGACTGGCGACGGGTCCCGATTCCGTAGGAAGTCGCGGAGTTCCGCCGCCAGGCGATGCGGTCCTGGCCGCATTTCGGGGAGGGCACCTCCCCCGATCCATGTTTGCGCGCCCCCGAGAGAAGCGAAGTTGTTCGGCGGCCCCGGGTCCTCGGTCCGAGAAGCGCCCTCCAGGGGGCCGGGGATGGTCAACGACCGTCCGCAGCTGTTCCTTTCGTCTTTTTGTATAGTTATTTTTTTTTGTTTCTCCGCGACGCGACGAGGGGGTCCAGGCTTGACCCCGATGCGCCGGGCCGCTCTCGCCAGGGCTCCGCGCGCGACCCTCTTCGGGGGCCACGCTCGGGGCGGGATGGGCCCCAGGGGGCGGGGGGGGGGGCTGCGCCGACCCCGCTCGCCCAGTCGTCGTCGGCGGGGGCCTGGTGGCCCCCCCGCGCCTCCCAGGCACGCGTGGCTCCGCCAGCGTGGGCCCAGTGGCGATCGAGCGGCGATGCATCGCCGATGCCAGCTCGACGGCGCCCCCCCCTCCGTGCGCCCGCTCCTGCTGTTCCCCCCCGGCGCCCTCTCTGGTGTGAAGGCGGGCATGCCCCTCTACAGAAGGCAAATTCAAACATAGTCAAAAATATTCCGGGGGCGATTCTTCGATTACTTGTTAGAATATAATGTTTTTTATGTTGTTACTATTTTGCATTTTTCGTCCCAAATCCGCATGTCGGAGGACGTGCCCGACCTAACTCTGGTGCCTCGTCCTTATCTCGGCTTTTCCCAGGCTTGCACGCCGGTCGTTGAGAGTAGGTAGTTGCCTCTGGACCCCCGGATTACAGTCTACTTCTTAGGCGCCTTCCTGCCTCGAGGATCGAGTGGTTCTCCCTTCTCCCTCCTCTTCAGGGGTCCCCTTCAGGAGGGGGCGGGCGGAGATCCAGCTCACTTCCACCGCCTTCCTACTTCATGTTGCTTTGCCTACTTCTTCCGACCAGCGGGTAGTCAACTGTAGGCCACTGCGTGGTCTTCGAGTTCCCAGAACTCCATTCCTGGGCATGATTTTGAATGCCCGGAGCCAACTGTAGGCCACTTCGTGGTCTCCGAGTTCCCAGAACTCCATTCCTGGGCATGATTTTGAATGCCCGGAGCCAATTGTAGGCCACTTCGTGGTCTTCGAGTTCCCAGAACTCCATTCCTGGGCATAATTTTGAATGCCCGGAGCCAACTGTAGGCCACTTCGTGGTCTTCGAGTTCCCAGAACTCCATTCCTGGGCATGATTTTGAATGCCCGGAGCCAACTGTAGGCCACTTCGTGTTCTTTGAGTTCCCAGAATTTCATCCCCAGGCCACATTTTGTGAATGCTGATGCAGGCTGAGGCTGAAGCTGATGCAGGCTGAGGCTGAGGCAGGCTGAGGCTGAGGCCGAGGCTGAAGGCAGACTGAGGCTGAGGCTGAAGCAGGCTGAGGCTGAGGCTGAGGCTGAGGCTGAGGCTGAGGCAGGCTGATGCTGAGGCAGGCTGAGGCTGAGGCTGAGACTGATGCAGGCTGAGGCTGAGGCAGGCTGAGGCTGAGGCCGAGGCTGAAGGCAGACTGAGGCTGAGGCTGAAGCAGGCTGAGGCTGAGGCTGAGGCAGGCTGAGGCTGAGGCTGAGGCAGGCTGAGGCTGAGGCAGGCTGAGGCTGAGGCTGAGGCTGATGCTGAGGCTGAGGCTGAGGCAGGCTGAGGCTGAGGCTGAGGCTGATGGCAGGCTGAGGCTGAGGCTGCAGGCTGAGGCTGAGGCTGAGGCTGAGGCTGAGGCTGAGGCTGAGATGCTGAGGCAGGCTGAGGCTGAGGCTGATGCTGAGGCAGGCTGAGGGCTGAGGCTGAGGAGGCTGATGCTGAGGCTGAGGCTGGCTGATGCAGGCTGAGGCTGAGGCAGGCTGAGGCTGAGGCCGAGGCTGAAGGCAGACTGAGGCTGAGGCTGAAGCAGGCAGGCTGAGGCTGAGGCTGAGGCAGGCTGAGGCTGAGGCAGGCTGAGGCTGAGGCAGGCTGAGGCTGAGGCTGTGACTGCGACTGCCGTTGCCACTGCGTCTGTCATCGCGAATGCGACTGCGACTGCGAGAACAGCAGAATTCTACAATCGGATTCTCATCTGAATCTTAAGGGGAATGCTTCCAGATATGCTTCTACACATCGCTGTTAGGTTGCTTTGCCGGGATACTTTGTTGTTGGGCATTGTACCCGTTCTTTCGGTACCCATTTCGGGTGTCGAAAGCAGCCTCCCTCCTCCCTGGGGCTCGCATTGTGCCCATTCTTTCGGTACCAATTTCGGGTGTCCAAAAAAGGGGGGGGGTACGAAGTCTGCTGCAGGCACCTGGTTTCGGCCCCGCCGCCGGGTCCATTCCTGGACACATGGGCGCCTCCCTGCGCCGGGAGGCGCTGGGAGAATCAGCTACGTGGGCTGATTTTCGACCCTACCCTTTGCTATACCCCCCTTTCGTTCCCCCCGATCCCCCCCCCCGCTCCTCGACTAGACGTAGGAGTGACATTTCGCTGGAGTGACCTCCTCCCTGGGGCTCGCATGCTCGCGCGGCCGGAGGGCCCGGAGCTGCTGCCGCGCACGGGCGGCCCCCCCTGCCGGGGCCGAGACGGGCACCCCATCTCGGGAGCCTCCGCCACGGGCGGGCAGACGCTCCGACAGGACCCCCGACGCTCCCGTCAGGAGCGAGAGAAGGACGTACACGTGCAGGAATCCGCGCTGGTCTCGAGAGTGCGCATTGCCCGAATGTTCGCATCACGCGGCCAGTCTCGCGGATCGAGGGGCCGTGTTCATGTACATAGCTGGGCGCGTGCGTCCTTTGTGGGCTCCCTAGGCTCCCCCCATCGCTCCTCCTCCCCATGGGATCCTGGCGTCGCACTGTTTTCGCACCGGGGGTTGCCGCCCAGTGCCGGGCCCCGAGAGCCTCACAGATCGCTCCTGCTCGAAACACAGCGCAGAATGACGGTGTCCAGAGTTTTTTTTTTGTTTTTTCCTTTTCTTGCGTTTTTTTCACAATGTTGGCATTTTTTTCGCAGTGTCGGATCTCAGGGTCGGGGGCTGCTAATCGCTCCCTTTTGGATCCCCTTGGGCCCTCCATGCCTCGTGATGGCCTCCCGACGTCGTACTTTTGCGCAGCGTCGACCCCGAGAGGTTTGGACCCCTTCCCCAGGACCGGTTTTTCATCCTGAGTCGTGTTTTGACTGCCCCGAGGCCCCGTAAGGGCCCCCGGAGGCCGAAACTGGCCAGAAAACTCCCCGCCGTGATTTTCTTCACAACGCGAGGGGCCCTGGGGAGGCCGCGGGGGTCCTCCCCGGAACTCCTGGGGACACCTTGGGCCAGGGGCACTCCCAGCAACACCCACGCCCGACCTCCGGCGGCGTCGCCCCTTCCCCGCCCGATCACCCCCCCGATCCTCGATTCTCGAGCCGCTGGGACCTCGAGGGTTTGTCCGAAGGGCTTAGGCGACCGGTCCTCCTCCTCCCTCCTCCTCTTTCTCCTCCTCCTCCTCCCTCCTCCCTCCTCCCTCCTCCCTCCTCCTCCCTCCCTCCTCCTCTCCCTCCTCCCTCCTCCCTCCTCCCTCCCCCTCCCCTCCTCCCTCCTCCTCCCCCCTCCTCCCTCCTCCTCCTCCCTCCCCCCTCCTCCCTCCTCCTCCCTCCCCCCTCCTCCCTCTCCTCCTCCTCCTCCTCCTCCTCCCTCCTCTCTCCCTCCTCCTCCTCCTCCTCCTCTCGAGATCCCTCCTCTACCTCCTCTTCCCCTCCTCCTCCTCCTCCTCCTCCTCCTCCTCCCCTCCTCCCCCTCCACAATTACTCAATATGAATACTACTCTCCCTCTTCCCCTGATGGCGTGCTGGGAGTGGCCGACCCCCCCCCCGCGTATTGTTTTTTTACACAGGATTCCCGGGAGTTGGGTTTTCGCCTGCGTTTTTTTTCAAAATGCTGCTCTCGCTGAGGCGCCGGCCTCATTTCTGCTCCCGAATCGTTCCGAATCGTGCTCCCGCTGCAGCGTGGGCCTCATTTTCGGATCGGTGTTTGGCCTCCGTCGTTCAGGATGGCGTTCTCGCCCCAGCGCGGGCCTCTTTCTCGCGCGCCCATCCGCCCGCCACCACCGCGCCGCACCACGCCCCGCCCCGCCGCACGCACACCCACCGCCACTTCCACCCACCAACGCACGCACGCACGCACGCGCACCACCACCGCGCGCACCGCCACCACCACCACGCTACACCGCGTCACACCACATCACACGCGCGCACACACAGACACACACGCACGCGCACGCACGCACGCACGCACACGCACACACACACACACACAGACACACACACACACACACACACAGACAGACAGACAGACACACGACACGACAGACAGACACGACAGACACACACACACACAGACACACACACACACACCACGGCCACCACCACCACCGCCATTACGCACGTACGCACCTGGCCCACCACCAAACCACCAAGACGCCACACCACGTCACACCACAGCACACGCGCACACACGCACACACACACACACACACACACACACATACACACCACCACCACAACAACCACAACCGCGCACACACGCACGCACGCACGCGCACCACCACCCACTACGCACACGCGCGCGGAGCCACAGGTCCGCTACGACACGCGTCCGCGGATAGAGAAAATCAGCGCCATGGTAAGGGATGGGAGGGAGGGGTAGGATGTCAGATGTTGACGCGAGCGCACCTAACTTGTCCACTCCCCCTCCTCCACCTCCTCCTCCTCTTCCTCCTCCTCGGGTCGCCCACGGCCCCGGGGGAAGCCGTGCACCGAAACCCCTCTTCCCGGGGGGCACGCGGGGGCACCCGCGTAGGGGCGGATGGCCCAGGGGCGGGCATGGCAGGCGTTCGTCCGGGAGCCTCGCCGAAGGCATGGACCACAGGCCCTCCCCTTTGATCCTCGAGCTTCGAGCATCGAGCCGCTGGGGGCCCCCGCCGGACCCCTGTGCCCAGGGGCGCCCGAGGAGCAGCGTGGAGCCTCTGCCATGTCTCTCTGCTGGCGCTCGGGACGATCGAACTCGGTACGGAAGGAAAGGGTACGATGCCCAGCAGCAGTTTCTGTTCATCTTGAACGAGACTCGCTGTCCGCGCCGCTGCGGACGTTGTTCACTCAGGCGATCGCAAAGATGGATTAAGGGGGCGTGGATTAGCGACGGGTCCCGTTTTCCATGGGAAATCGCAGATTTCCGCCGCTGAGCGAGGCGGCTCTGGCCGCATTTTGTGGAGGGCACCTCCCCCGATCCATGGATGTGGCGACCGCGCGCCAAATCCATGGATCGCTAATCCATGTTTGCGCAGCTCCGAGTCACTGACGACACAAAGCGGCCGCTGTCGGTTTGGGACAACATTTGTTGTTGGGCAGTGTATCCTTTTTCCCCGTACCCATTCTGGGCGTCCGAATGTGTGGGTGCCCCATTGTTCTTCTCTAGGCCTCTTCGATGGGGTCGGAGTAGATGGGGTCGGAGGATCGCGCCGCATCGCCGATGCATTAGCGATGCGGCTCGATGCGGAGCCCGATTTTCTTCACAAAGGCGTCGCCGACACACCGCCGACGTCGCCGATGCATTGGCGATGCGGCGCGATCCTCCGAACCCATCTACTCGGATTCTATCCAGGAAGCCGCTATCTTCGTGCCAGACCATCTCGGACCATCTGATGAGGTCGTGGGGCCCGATTGCAGTTACACTCGATGCGGCGTCGTTCCCAGACATCCGGTTGCTCCAATTTTTGTCGATGCGTGGGCCTCGGAGGTCCAGACCGCTTCCCCGGGCCCATCTTGTTCGTCCTGAGTTGCTCTCTGACTCTCCCGAGGCCTGGCGAGGGCCCCAGGAGGCCGAAAACTGCCCAAATCTCGCCAAAATGGCGAACAGCTCCCCGCCGCTCCCGTTTCTGCTGGAGCGTCGGATCTCTGCATGGCTTCTACGAGTGAGCGCGCGACAGGCGGAGAACGATCGAGAGCGTCATGGCTATAGTCCCCCCGTTGGTGGTGCCCCAGTCCTTCAGTCAGGCCGCCGACAAGACAATCAGTTACTCCCTACTGGGGGGGGGGGCTCTAAAGACCCTTTGGAGTTACAAGTGAGCGCGCGACAGGCGGAGGACGCGCGAGCGCGTCTTTGCTGCTGGTGGCCACGGCGTGCCCCCCGCCTCCCGAGGCCGTGCTGGCCAGCTTCGGTGGGCTCGTCTCGCTGCTGGACGTGGGCGCGCTGGCGGAGCTGCGCGGGGCCCAGCGCGGGGGAGAGCTCGGATGGGGGGGGCTCGGACCCACGGCCGTCTGCCTCCTGGGGCCACCTCTCTGGCATGATCTGCTTTCGCCGGCGCTGGTCTCGCCGGCGCTGGTTCCGCCCGCTGGTCTCGCCGACGGCGGGTTTCGCAACCGCTGGTTTCGCCACCGCTGGTTTCGCCGGTGGCTGGTTTCGCCCGCGCTGGTTTCGCCGGCGCTGGTTCCGCCGTCGCCGTCGTCGCCGCGGGCGGGCGGACCCTAGCGGGCGGGTCGCGTCGGGGCGGGCGGGCGGACCCTGACGGGCGGGTCGGGTCAGGCGGGCTTGACCTTAAAGTGTGGGGCACGCTCGACCGAGCACGCGCGAACCCTGACAGGCGGGTCGGGTCGCACGGGCGGACCCCAGCGGGCGGGGCGGGTCGGGTCGGGCGGGCGGACAACGGGCGGGTCGGGTCGGGCTGGCTTGACCTTAAAGTGTGGGGCGCGCTCGACCGAGCACGCGCGAACCTAACGGGCGAGTCGTGTCGGGCGGGCGGACCCTAGCGGACGGGACGGGTCGGGTTGTGCGGGCGGACCCTAACGGGCGGGTCGGGTCGGGCGAGAGGGACGTTAAAGTCTGGGGCGCGCTCGACCGAGCAGATGCGAGCCCAAATGGGCGGGTCGGGTCGTTCGGACCCTAGCTGGCGGGTCGGGTCGGGCGGGCGGACCCTGACGGGCGGGTCGGGTGGGGCGGGCGGGCAGGACATGAAAGTGTGGGCTGCGCTCGACCGAGCACGGGCGAACCCCAACGGGAGGGTCGGGTCGCGCGGGCGGACCTTAGGGGGCGGGTCGGGTCGGGGCGGGCGGGCGGACCCTAACAGGCGGCCCGGGTCGGGCGGGCGGGACATTAGAGTGTGGGGCGCGCTCGACCGAGCACGCGCGAACCCTAACGGGCGGGTCGGGTCGGGCGGGCGGACCCTAGCGGGCGGGTCAGGCAGTGTCGCCGACGGCAGCTGGTTTCGCCGACGGAGCTTGTTTGTTTCGCTGACGGCGCTGGTTTCGCCAGCTGGGCGGAACCAGCCGTCGGCGAAACCAGCGGTCGCCACCTCTCATGGGGGGCGACAGTCCAGGTGTCCCTCTCGGGCCCCAAAGGCCCTCCTCTGGGGCCCGGCAGCCTCGCTGCCCCCCCCCCCCCACCTGACGCCCCCCTGAGATCCTGGCGTGCCCTACGCTGCCCCTCACTGGTCGCCCCCCAGACGCGCGCCTCCAAGGAGAGCATCTGCTACTCGCATGTCTTTGTGCATCCTGGCGGGGGGGGGGGGCGGCCGGTGCCGACGGATCGACGGCCGAGGGCTCGTTGCTCCTCCTCCTCCTCCTCCTCCTCCTCCTCCTCCTCCTCCTCCTCCTCCTCCTCCTCCTCCTCCCTCCTCCTCATCCGTCCTCCTCCTCCTCCTCCTCCTCCTCCTCCTCCTCCTCCTCCTACTCCTCCTCCCTCCTCCGGTCTCTCCCTGTCCCGGGGGTGGCGCCTCGTGCTTCACCTTCCCTCCCCCTCTCTACCTTTGTCTCTCTCGCTCTGTCTCTCTCTCTCTCTCTCTCGGATCGTTTCTGGACGTTCTCCTGCATGTTCGATGGCTCTGCGGGGTCAGGGGGGGTCCCCCCTTTTTCCCAAGAGGGAGGAGGAAGAGGAGCAGGAGGAGGAGGAGGAGGAGAAGGAGAAGGATGATGATGATGATGATGATGATGATGATGATGATGATGATGATGATGATGATGATGATGATGATGATGATGATGATGATGATGATGCTGCTGCTGCTGCTGCTGCTGCTGCTGCTGATGATGATGATGATGATGATGATGATGATGATGATGATGATGATGATGATGAGGAGGAGGAGGAGGAGGAGGAGGAGGAGGAGGAGGAGGAGGAGGAGGCTGAGGAGGATGAGTGGGAGATCGGAGGGGGGGCTCGGAGGAGGAGCAGGCACCCCTACCGCTGCCCTTTCCTTTTCGCCCTTGTGTCGACGGCACGTAAGAGTGACCCTTTGCTGGACCCTGAGATCATGGCGTTGCATTTTTTTCGCCGCGGGCGTTTTCTCTCCATTTCGGGCCCCGGGGCCCTCACATATCGATGCGGCTCGAAACAGGACGCTCTGGTCGTGATTGTTTGCGATGTTGCATTCTTTGGCACCGTCGGATCTCAGGGGAGGAGGAGCAGGCACCCCTACCGCTGCCCTTCCCTCCTCTTCGCCTCAGTGCCGAGTGCACGTAGGAATGACCCTTCGCCGGAGACGACCTTTGGGTGAGGGCTCATCGGGCTCCCACCGATCGCAGAGCGCGGTGCGAGAACGGCTGCCTGCACGCGCATTGCTCCCCCTTGGTCCGCAATGCGCGGGCCAAGTTGCTCCCCCTTGGTCCGCGCATTGCAAGCTCCCTCCTGCCCAGGGCCACTCCTGCGTGTAGCCGATTGTGGGCCTCCTGGGAGTCCCTCGTCGCCACTGATGGACTCGCCTCGAGGTTCCAGTCAGAGAGCACTCGTGGAGAAGAGCTCGCTTGGATGAGGAGGACGATGTGGAGGAGGAGGGTCTATTAGAGCTCATAAGACACCGAATAAGAACACTGGACGTAAGAGGAGGAGGAAGAGGAGACGGAGGAGGAGGAGGAAGAGGCGGAGGAGGAGGAGGAAAAGGAAGAAGAAGAAGAAGAAGAAGAAGACGACACCGAACACGAACACACGTAGGAGTCAGAGGAAGGGGATTAGGATGAGGACGGGGATGGACAAGTGGAGCAGGCAGAGGAGCCAATTAAGTACTCGAGACTTGCGGCCAGATGCAGTTTCGGGGCGAAGCAGAGAGACGGGCGACGATGTGGATCACTGCCGTTGGACACAGCGAGCAGCGGAAGGCGATGTGGCAAATACCAGAACGAGAAGGAGGTGCCAGGGCAAGAGCACCAGACGGAGCAGAGCGGCGAGCGCAAAGGGACGGGCTACAGGCACCACTGCCAGCAACAGCAGAGACCGAGGAGTTGGGCACGACCGTTCCTGCGAGCATGGTGCCCGGTGAGCTGTGGGGCCTGACGCTCTACGCAGAGACGAAAACGACGAAGCAGACGCACGGAATGGGATATGCGGAGGAGGTCGCAGCGCAGGCGTTGTTCAGAAGCGCGGTTTGCCATGGTCGCCTGTTTGTCCGACCGACGAGCATGGCCCCGCCTTACTTGTGCAGGAACCGAGCGGTTGGATTGGACAGGCGAAGCGGCAAAGAAGCGGCAGAAGTCAAGAGAGTGATCCATTGTCTGGCGTGTTTGGGCAAGGCGTGCAACATGAAGCGGCTCTGCTTCTCGCTGGTTTCGCAGGGCTACTGCGTTGGCAGGGGAAGGAGACGCGAAGGAGCTATTATGGCGCCGCAGGTATTTAGCTGGCGGCTAACTCAAGGGGACTGGAGCTACGCGGTTACCGTGAACAGCTTGCAGAATGCATTCGGCCCGGTGAGTTGGGAGGCGCTGGACATGGCTGTGGAGGAGGAGGCGGATTGGCACGACGAAGGAGTTGCGCGAGCAACGCTACAGGAACACGATGGTGGACCTCCCGACGCACGACGGTTCGTACACGATCAAGATGGGCGACGGCATGATGATGGGTGACCCGTTCAGCGTGGAGGCTTTTGCTAGGGCGTTCATGGAGCCGACCCAGAAACGGGGCAGAGGGTCCAAGAGCGTCAGGCCACGGCGAGTCTCCTCAAGTGCAAGTGGTGGTGGGTTGGGGGGCTTTGTCTGCCATCGACCTCAGCTGCAGCCAGTTCGCGGGCGACTCAGGCAAACACCAGAGACTTCATGTCGACATTGCGATGCGGGAGGTGGCAGGGCGATTCCTCGTGGCAGACGACGAGCTGGCTGCGCAAGCTCAAGATGCAGCAGAACAGGGAGAGGCAGGTGACAAGAGAGATGGCGCAGGGAACGGGAGCCATTGCATGCAGGAGGTGGCTCCGCGAACGCGGGCAAGGGGTTGAGGGCGCCCATGGAAAGGGGAACGACGCGGCGTGCTACCTGGAGCCACTGATCTCACCCAAGTGCACGAAGAAACACGGGATGCCAGGGAGATGCGAGGCGGCGCAGCCAGCATTCTACGCCATGGGCGGTTTCTGGAGCTTGGCGGCGCCTCGAGGGTGGAAGCGAGTCGTCTTTCAATGATATTTTCTGGGTGCTCTACTCTCTGGCGCGGGGTGCATCGCCCTATCGTAAGCAAAGATGAAGAGGCAATGCTCCGTTTGGGACGGCTGGGCCGCATCGCGATGCCGGGGGGGAACGACGACCTGGCACGAGGGCGGCAGCGTCGCAGGCATCGCGGCGAACAAGGTGCTGGATTGCTGGGAGCTGACGGAGATTGATGCGGAGCTAGTGGCGCGACGCTTGCGGCGGTGCCAAAGCTGGGCGAGACGACCATGACGCTGCGCGCAGCCGCTGTCCGCGCTCTTCGAGGACCTCCCCGGGATATAGCCGACCCCGTCATGCGCGGAGACAGGCCTCTCGGATTCGGACTCGCCGCGGGCGCGGCGGGTGGGCGCGGATATCGGCGACGCAGCAATGGCGAACGAGGGCGACGTGGACCGGCTGAGCAGGGCCCCGTGGGAACTGGAGGTGGACATGGGCTTGGCAGAGGAGTTCGCGCCACTGGATTTCGCGAGAGCGAGGGCGCGCAAGCTGACTGCAACCGGCGTTTTCGGAAACATAGAACTCCCAGGCACGGCGACTAGAAGATGGCGCAAGTGCGCTTCCCGCGCCCCTAATTGTAGTGCTCACCAAGTCGCGCAGTCCGTGGTTTGCAAATGTGGGCGTCTTTTTTCCCTTGAACGACCCGCTCCTCGAACTTTGGATTTGGGGCCAGGGGGCTGGGCCCGCTTCAGCACGCATTAGAGATGGGCCATCCTGTCGAAAGCCCCCGGGGATTCCACCGCCAGGGGAAGTGGCCAGGCCAGCGAAGCTAGAGGAAGAGGGCGAGGAGCTGGGGGATATCGGCC